AGGCTCAAACTGTTCATTTGAATATATATGGGCTACTCAATATTCTATGTTCTAGGCACAGGAAACATGGCTATGAATAAAACATTCAAAAAAAGATCCTGCCCTTAAATTCTGTTGGTCAGAAAGAATAGTATATAGAAATCATGATTAATGATTGTATTAGTTGTTTTATTAGCAAAAGATGATACAGGGAAACTGTATACTTTGATATGGAATCAGGATTAGATATGGAGTTAAAAAATTGGACAAGTTTTGTTTGTATATAAGGAAGTATACCTAAATTTCATCTGTGTAATATTAGCCAAAGTGTTAATACATACTTAGAACTGAAACCAGGTATCAATATTGAATTAAAACTGGGGTGAACTTATAAGTTTAAAGCTCACATAGTTAATCCAGAGATGTATACTCCAGTCTCCTTATTAAGCATTTCAGATAGCATTTCAAGTTTGACATTACAGTGAAGGGGGAAGCTGTTCCAATTTACTGATATTGCAAAGTATTTCTGAAACTAAAAAGTCAATCCCTTTCAGGCAATGAAACTTGAGAAAGTTTTGTGTTTTTTTCTTTTTCCATTTCCTTGAAATGCCTCTGTTTCTTTAACATTCACTTCTCCAGCTCTCTCTGTTGTTGTCTGACTTGGAGAGGATACTTTATGGAATGCTGTTGATGTTTGACTTAGGAACTTTTCCCTCCGAGAGAAATTCTGAGATCTCAAAGCTGACAATGCCCTTTACAATTATACTCATATAATCAAGAGACTTCCAAATGGTGCTTTCCATTGAAGACACACATGCATTTCCACATTAAAGATTAAATATAGTACTTAAAGCTTCTTTTACTATAATTCAGACAGTTCTAAGGGATTAGATTTATATTTATGTTTGAACCACCTGGGGCTGAGAATAAGATGGTGAATACATAGAACTGGTGGAGTCAGAGTATCCGCAAAGGAGAAAGGGCTTTTAAAGGGAGAGGCCACAGACATACTGCACAATTCTTATTCCAGTAACCTGAAGGGATTAGAATATGATACAGCACCATGTACTACTATGATGTGTACATGTACATATATTTCACTTAAACAGTTTTATTTGAAAATGTGGATGGGGGGGTCCTACCACCTTCATAACAGAGGCAGTGTCGGCCTGCAGTTCCAGTGGACCTTGTAGAAAGACAGAAGCCACAGAAAGACATAGGATATTGAGTGTCTGGGGGCCTGGGTTTCACCCTCCCAGAATGAGCAGTGGGTGATGAAGCTCACCTATGGCCACAACCCAAGTTTGCAGGTGTTTTCAGTGAATGCTGGTGGCATCTGGGACATTTTAAACCAAAGAAAATAAGAACACAGCAGGAGTAGCAGGCTCTTTAATGAACTGCCTCAAATAAAGTATGAGTTCCCTGGTTTGACAGTAACAACAAAATATACCTGAAGATCAATGTAAATGGAGACAATGTATAGTCTGACTCACAGTTTTAGAAGTTCTATATCATAGCCTGTGGCTTGTCATTCCACAATGCATCATGGTAATATATGTACCGGAAGAAAGAGGCTAAAAATGCTGCGTATCTCCTGCTCTTAATGGTATGACAGACTTTTGAAAATCCCCCATGGAAGGCCTCACCCTCCCTGGAGAGCAGAATGGGGATAGGTAGGGTGTTAGTGTGGGGCAGGGGAGGAGAAGAGGGGGGGGGAATTGGGATTGACATGCAAAACAAGATTGTTTCTAATTTCAATTTTAAAAATTAAAAATTAAAAAAGGCTGCCTCTTTTGTGGTTACTGCTTACTTGGTTACTTTTCTGTAGGGAAGGAAGGGACACATCTCGAAATGACCTCCCATTAGGCCAACTCCTAATGTTTCTACCACTACCACAGCCTGGTGACAAAGCCTTTAACACAGGAGCCTTTGAGATACAACTAAGATAAGTAAGACTGGAGCCTTAGGGGCTGCAGAGATGGCTCAGTGGTTGAGCACTTGTTGTTTGTCCCAACTGGGTTTGGTTTCCAGTATTCACATGGTGTCTCAAAACCACTTGTCACTGCAGTTCCAGGAGGACCTGATGCCCTCTGCTGGCTTCTACGGGCACTTGGTGCCCATGCACAGGCAAAGTTCATGCATATTAAATGGGATATTTTTAAAAGCAGTTTTACAAAAAGATCTAAGCTACAACAGAAATTACACCTATAAAGGAATTTTTGATTAGTAAAATTTCTATCATATCAGAGAAAGCAAGTCCCAGAGAGGACTTGTGTTTCCCCAAGACAATAAGGCAAACCCCATTTGACCATACACATTTCTACTCTTTGTGTTTGCTGGAGCTGTTTTCTCCCCACACTCAACCCCCTTTGCTGAAGCCTGGAACTTGCTTTCCACAGCTTAAGTTGTTATAGGTTTCAATCATCTGTCCACCTCCCTGACTTTCATAATTTTGTGAAATACCCTTGCATATATATATGGGACTAAATATTATTTTCTCCTGGTTGTCCATAATAGATTAATTTAATTCCTAAACAAAGAACAGAACATAGATTGGTATAGTAGAAGAGTTTCCCTTCTCCCTACTGCATGAATGGAAATTCCCCAAACCATCCTTATCAGAGAAATTAACTCACATACTAGTCACCTTTCATTCAGCTGGATGACAAAATCATTTTAAAAAAAGAGAATAAAGAAAACAGATAAGAACAACTAGATCTAGGAATAATACTTAAAATATGATTCTGCTTAGTAGGTTTCATTCACACACCTAGAAAAAAAAATCAGTCAATGTTTCCTTTGGGCAGAAAATGAGCAATAATGGGTATGCATTGACCACTACTGTTGGACATAGCCTTATTGCTTCATATAGCATCTATTCAAAGTCTCAGATCAACACTATGAAAACCTGTCATCTCTGTATTAGATGATGTGACTGGGGCTGTAAAGGGTAAGCTCTTTTCTTACAGCTATACAACAACGCTAAGACCAAGTTCTGTGCTTTGAGCCCAGGCAGTTTAGTTTCCCAGGAGCAACCTAAAGCCTGATTCACAGGCATATGTATGATCCAAACTGAATGGTAGTACATCAATACCAAAACAATCTATTGGTGGAAACACACCATAGGTGATCGAAATACTCCATTTTCTTTTCCTCTCATGACTTCTGTTCTGAGCAGTCCTCTTCCTAAAGTCTACATTGTCTTCTGAGTTCAGGCTGACATCTTGACATCCTCCTGGCTGGCACAGTCTCTGGACAAGGAGGGAAGAAGGAGAGAAGGGGAAAGGGAGAGGAGGGGGGGAGGGAGAGAAAGAATGGGAAGAGGAAGGATATGAAAGAGAGAAGAGAGGAGGGAAGGCGGGAGGAAGGGAGGGAGGGAGGGAGGGAGAGAGGGAGAGAGAGGGGAGAGAGAGAGGGAGAGGGGGGGGGAGAGAGAGAGAGAGAGAGAGAGAGAGAGAGAGGAGAGAGAGAGAGAGTTTTCTTCACCATTGGACATTCCTAAAGAAAAGAAGTAAATGCAGGATTGGGGACAGTGACAGAGGACCTCTGATAAACTTTCTGAGGCCTCTGACCTCACTCTCTCGGAGCCCTCCTCCACCACCCACCCCCCCCCTCCCTAGCTGAGAAAAGCTTCCAGGAAATGTCCCAGTCATCGCTTCCCCTCCCGGGCTGGGGGCTGGGAGCGGGCGGTCCCCTCAGGCCAGGGCTGCTCCGCCCGCGCTCGGGCAGGGCCACAACAGAGCTGGGAAAGCTGAGCCCAGGCTCGCAGCTCCTCTGGGCGGAGCGCCGGCTCGGTCCCCGCTGCCGCGCCCCCCGCTGCGCCAGCCGTGATCCCCGGCAGCCTGCTCAGCAATGAGGGTCCTGAGCGCGCGCTGTCGGCTACTGCTGGTATGCCTAGCCCTGGTGCTGCCAGCCTCGGAGACAAACTGTAAGTAATCCATACCTCCTGGCTTCTCCATTCCCTATGTGCCCCGGCTTGAAGATTTTCCACTAGGCTGTTTGCTGCCTCCTAAGTTTCCAGTAAGTCCGCCACCATTCAGAGAGTCGCGGCAGCCTGGGTCTGGTGGGCAGTGTAAAGGTGGGACAGGATCAAAGCTTGCCTTGCTTTGAGAACCATTGTCCACAGGACTTGATTCCAGAACCCGGGTGACACTAAGTGTCAAAGGAATTGCTTGAACATAGTCCTAAATATTGCTAGGAAAGCTAAGTCAAGCCTGTTGCCCTCCTCCCGTTTACAAGAGTGCCCCAGCCCGCACCCTCTCCTGCGGCTAACCTTCCTTTTGCAATTTCTGGACTTTGAACTTGATTGACTGGTCTCACATTGACAAACTGTTTGGGGACTGCTGGGGTGTTACATATGATTCTCTAACCTTGATATAAGAAATAGCTGTTGGATGTTACCTTGTACCGAGGATCATTTTCTGAGGGTTTTGACTGTTGCCGCTTTGAGATGGCAGCAAGAATTCTGTACAACACACACATTTTTGTGTTTCTTGGTCTTTCCTCTTCCCATTCTCAGATTCCGGGCAGTATATCGAGTTTTCTCTTAGAAATATAAAACGAACCACAAGGTTTTAGTACATTTTAATGGTCAATTAAATTGTTTTTAGAAGCTTAAATATGTTCATAATTAACACTGCTTTCTTTTGCTCTTTTGTAGTCCCAGTCACTGGCATGGGAGCAATAACTGTATAACAAATACCACTTAGGTCACTGCGAGCACCAAAGAAACTTTTCAAAGATGGTAATTAAGTAGGAGTTTGCTGGAATTGCAAGTTTTTATTAATTAGTAAGGAATCTAGCCTGATATTTTTAAATGTCTAACTAAGTTAAAGACCAGAATGAAACTGGTTCACTTTTTATTGAGGATAAACAAGTTACAGTTATAAAGCCTCAACAATCAAAGCCCTACGATGAAGCAGCGTGTGACTGTATGCACATGATCTATCTTGTTCAGAGGAACAATCAAACATTTTCAGATAGCATCAGGGCGGTGGTGGTACTCGCCTATAATCCTAGCAAAGTCAGAGGCAAGCAGATCTCTGTGTTCAAGGCCAGCCTAGTCTACAGAGTGAGTTCCAGGACAACTGGGGCTACACAGAGAAACCTGTCTCAGAGAAAAACAAAATAAAACCAAATTCAGATAGCTGGTGTTTGGGAAAAGAGCAAAAGACAGCAGTGCTGGCCACACAGAGAGTAGACAAGTTCATTCTACAAGGACATCACAGAAAGAATATGTGACCCAATGACGACCATAAACTTTCTTGTTCCTGTGTCAAATTATCTCCGGTTTATTGATGAAGAACCAGACACTATGAGCTGCGTCTCCTCCTTAAGATTTTGTTTTGGTGTCTTGTTTTTGTCAAGGGGTTTCATTGTGGCCCTGAGCATTAGATCCAGGGCTTTGTGCATGCTAGGCCAGGGAGCTATATTCCCGAACTCCAGAAGACTAGGAATTTGAGATATAAATAGAATTTGAATTACCTTCTGTACAATTGATTGTATGGTTCTAGAAATATTGCTATATTAAGGGAAGCCTTTGCAGAAGACAGTTATTTTGAGATGGTGCATAACACAAAAGAAATGAACTAAAGCCTGAGGCCTGCTCTGTAGCTCTGCCTTGCCCTTAGCCTACAATAACTTTCTTTACCTTTCAAGCATGTGCCACCACGCCTGACTTTCAGGCCCTTCATTTTAACAAGAAAGCAAGTATTCAGTTATCAACTGACTTTCCAAATGCATTTGTATGAATAAAAACTACAAAAATATAAAAATAAGAACTATACACACAAAAGCCTTGTATTTAAAATTTACGCTGTGGACATATTTTGCTCATCATTCGTGAGAGCTTGCGGTAAAAAGGCAAAGGGGAAGAGGAGGATATCTATTTTGGGTAGGCTAATTTGGCCTTATCCAGACTTCCCTTTTGGGTGGATGCAGTCTGCCCAGCACACTATTGGCCCATTTCTTCTACATGGCTTTGTGCTCTGCTCTGCCCTTAGCTAATTGTCCCCTTTGACATGCTTTTGTCTTTCCTTAAAGTTTCTATACTTCAAAAACCATCCCGCTACACTAATGGAGTGATTTTCTCAAGGGTTGCTTTATGTTTGGGGTTTGTACTGCAAGAGTTAGTTTCTGATATAGCAATGGTGATAGTATAGTCTTCTACCATGAACTCTATGCCAGCAAGTACAGGGGTATATTTCACATGGGTGTTTTCTGTTCACTGAGTTTCATGTCTTCTTTGTATCTTTTTGTTTTGTTTTGTGAGACAGGGTTTCTCTGTAGCTTTTGAGTCAGTCCTGGAACTTGCTGGCCGGCCTTGAACTCACAGAGATTCACCTGCCTCTGCCTCCCAAGTGCTGGGATTTAAGGTGTGAGTCACCACTGCCAGGTTTTTTCTTTGTATCTTGAGTGAACTAAATAGGTAAGCTTTAAATAATAATATGAGCAGTCTATTTATATACATTAAATATTAAATGCATTGTGAGATGAGCATAGCCTTTGAGGCCCAGGAACAGAAAGATTTACTTCACATTGTAAATATACTGGTATACATACAAACGTACATACGTGTGTGTGTGTGTGTGTGTGTGTGTGTGTGTGTATGTATGTGTGTGTGTCTTCTTTATGAATCTTACACATTAAAGAAGGCAGGAATGTCAGAGCCAGGTTTAGTCACTCTGACTAACCAACTAAAAGGAAAGGAAGGGTTTATTCTGACTTGTGGTTTTTGAAGTTGCCATCACCCACAGGGATGCTCTTCTCAATGGAAGGCTTACATTTACCCACCTTTGAGCCCATGAAGGATGGATATTCCAGATTCATGAGATCACCCCAAAGCTTTGTCTTTCCAACTGTCCAGGTACAAAGCACTTGGATTATTATTTTTTAGATTCATTTCTTTATTATATATACACTATTCTGTCTGTATGCCTGCAGGCCAGAAGAGGGCACCAGATCTCATTACAGATGGTTTTGAGCCACCATGTGGTTGCTGGGATTTGAACTCAGGACCTCTGGAAGCCAGTGCTCTTAACCTCTGAGCCATGTCCCAGCCCAACACTTGGATTATTTTTAATGATGCTACTCTCTTGAGTGTCCCCATGAGCAACAATCAGACTAACTCCACAGGCTTTTCTTTGTTGGTCACGCAGCAGATTTCCCAAGTCTTTCTGCTCTGTTTTTTTCTTCCTGAGTCTTACTGGAAGTCTAGCTGAGGTCAGACAGCTGAAGCCACATCCTGGATGCAGAGATGCCCTGGAGTTTCTTTCAAAAGGTTAACTGGTGTGTCACTTTTAAGTGTCCCTTCACATACAGTTGCAACATATGGGGAAAATGTAGACAAGTTCTTGGCCAGAATGTAGCATAAATGACCTTTAGTCCTGTTCCCAAAGCAGTCTTTTCTTCACTTTGATTTGAAACCTTGCCGCCATAGCCTTTGCATTTTAATCTTTTGAGGTTCTCCTAGAATCACCCATTAAGCTCCACTTACAATGCTGTACACCTTTTCTAGCCTGTTCCCAAAACTATTTCAAACTGTTCTAGCTGCATTACTTATAATCACAGGAGCAGTTCAATCCCAATGTCAATTTTCTTGTCACCTTGCTATTATTGTGAAAAAAATCACCCAAGAAAATCAACCAGGACAAGGAAAGTTTGACTTGGGCTCATGGTTTCAGACTTTTTCCGTCTATGGCCATTTGGCCTTGTTTCTGTGCCTGCAGTCATGGAAGGATGCTATAGTACTGAAGCACTGTTGACCTCATCTCTTTGAGGCTAGGAAGCAAAAGGAGACCTTCCTAGACATTAAGCTGTGCATCTATCTATTGGTTACCCCATTGATGAATGCAGAACATTCTCTTCCCAGTGACATACCAAAGACTCTATCCACCCTGAATATTGCTGTCTGGGGGACAAAAACCTTCACACGAGTTTTTCTGTTACACTTAAGGGCTAGACCATAACAAGGAAGAAATCGGAAAAGTTATATTAATTGTTCAGAAGGCTACAGATTAGTGTGTGATCAGTCATGTATAGGGGACAGAAAAACATAAGTATTTACGTGATGTGTATAGTGGGACTCACGTGACACTGGTTTTGGGACTGCTTCAGGTGACAAAGATAATCTGCCTTCTTGTCCTATGTGTTTTTCATGACTCAGATTCCTCGAACAACACACTCAATTCTTGGTTTAGCTTGACTCTGTGATTAATAGCTTGCATAGAGTCACACAGAGCATCAGAAGTATGATTCCCACAGGGAAGGCTACTGAGGCAGACAGCAGATGGAAGAAAAGACTACCTTGTAGTTATTTACTATGTAACATGCATGTATGGCCAACTTTTCTTTTTCTTTTTCTTTTTTTTTTTTTTTTTTTTTTTTTTTTTTTTTTTTTTTTTTTTTTTTTTTAAAAGGGGTTTTTTCTTTGTTCTTTTGGG